TTTGATGAAAAAGTGCTTCCGGTGAGCTTTTCTGGGTAGAAAGCTCACCGGAAGCACTTTTTCATCAAAAAAAGATGGCGGCGCCCAGCAAACCAGCGGCCCGGTAGGACTTGTTCCACGGACCGGTCCCGGTCCGCGGACCAGTGGTTGGGGACCCCTGTCTAAAACGATCAAGCAACATATAGATTTTAAACCAGAAATATTTTTGTTGGGTATCTTCCCAGAACAGTATAATAAAGGAAATACATATTTAATTTTGCATGCATTGATTGTGTTTGCACAGCAATGGAAAAATTAAGAGATCCCTGCAGATGAAAGTGTTATAAAAAAAAAATTAGAATGTGCAGAGATGGATAGACTAATACTTAAAAGAAAAGGAAGAAACAGAATCCTTCCTAACATAGGGCTTGTTTTACCAATGGTTAACTAACAGAAACAGGGGTTAGAAATTAAAAAGATTAAAAGGATAATTAAATGTATATGGATTTATTTTTTTAGTATGGATAAAGCTTCTCTAAATTTGGAAGCTAAGCGGGATCAGGCATGGTTAATATTTTGAAAGAAAACCATCTGAAATATCAAAACTATAAGCTACAGTAGTCAAGGTCACAACCCAGAAAAATGCATATGCGGATGCATTTTCATACTGCTGCCAAAAAAATGACATCATCCTGAGTCAGATTCATCAGAAGCCTAGCAAGGTATGAAGGACTCTTCATTGATTCAGTGTTTTTGAAGACTTTATTGGCTTATTTGTTCTCTTCATTAAATTTATATTTTTAATTCAAGGTGGCTTCATTGTACACCTTCATTTTATCTCAAAACAGCAACACGGTGAAGGATGTTGGGTTGAGAGACCATCAAAAGATATCCACTCACTTTCTGAAACTATATGGGTGGAATTCAAACCTCGATGCCCATCATTCTAGTTCAACACTTGAGCCACGTTGTCATATTTTATGCCAACTTTGTCTTTCACAAAAATGATCCTTGGTGTGAGGACAGTAGACAGCATAGATCCTAGAGACTTGTTAAGGGTCATGAATTTTAGACTCTTCAGTTAAAAAATATCTCATGTTTCACAGAACGTGAAAGACCTAAGACCAGTCAGAAGTAGAAGACAGCTCCATGTGTTTCCAGGTCCTCTTGAAGATCTAGTGATCTGTCATGCCCCTGTCGGAGCGGGGTGGGGTGGGGAGATGAGCTGGAACCGGAGCCAACAGAGATTAAGCGGTGGCTTCGTTGGCTTCAGAGGAAAATGGGGAAGGGCAGGGCCAGTCAGGCCAGGGCCTTTCAGGATTAGGACAGCTTGTAGACAGGAAGGAAAAGGAGCAGGATGAACAAGAGAGACAGAGCTCAAGCAAGGACCACCCCCTCCTGATCCAAGAGCACAGAGAGTGGAGAGAAGGCGAGAACAGCGTAGACTGAGCAGGCTACTCAGGAGAGGAGCGTCCCACCCCTCTTCACAAGGCAGACCTGGGGAATGAGACTTAAGGATACACTGTGGGGAGGGGCATTTGTCAGGAACAAACACTGATATCCTGAAGTGTTGAGTGCCGACGTTTGAACTTCCCAAGAGTCCTTGCATTCTTCCTGGCTTTCTGCACTAATTACCTGGATCCTTTGCTTCCTGTGAACTCCTTGATTTGCCCTGCTGGATTTATTGCTGTGCAGCCTTGGGGTACACAGCATTGGGCTGGGCTATTTGCCAGCCAGAGGCTGCTTGAGGTGTGTGCAAGGGTTTGACATCACTTTGCTCGGGGACTGGCCAGAAGCGTGGGAGTGTTTGGGGACATTTGGTGCAATAAAGGGACGGTTTGAACTGCCAACTATTTGTGTTATCTCTGTGCTGTGCCCCGGGTCATCAAATGACCTCTCAGCAGAAAATAACCATTGGGGGGAAAAAATTACCTGGTGTGCCTCCATCGTCACTTTTTGCCTCTCTGGGTCCTGGCAGCTGGAACAATGGGAAGAGGTAACGGGTTTTCCAGTCTCGATCCAAGTTGGGATTCAATCCTGTCCTCTCACTCGGAGGAGCGTTTCTAGGACTATATTTGAAACGTAGCCGGTAACTAACCTGCAGACAAATCACAACCAGACTTGACATTAATGACATAAGAAGAGTGCGTGACATTCTCCAAGGTGTAGTCAAAACTACAGTAGTTGCACCCGACCTCTTGCCCAGGGTGGGATTCTACCGGTTCAGGCGAACCGGATGTTACATGTTCATCTGGTTCACCCAACAGGTATTTCAACTGACCGGATGGCCCCACTCACCCCACCCCTCCCAGGAGTCTCCACACAGCCCATTTTTGATTAAGGTAAGTGCAGGATCCGCATGGGGGCTCTGGGAAGGGGGGAATATGGCCCTCCTGGAAGTACCAGAAGCGGGCCTGTTTCCAGCTTCTGGTGGGCCTCCAGAACCCGGAGGAGGCTATTTTCACTTGGCCAATAAAGAATTCTATTCTATTCTATTCTATTCTATTCTGTTCTGTTCTGTTCTGTTCTACTCTACTCTACTCTACTCTACTCTACTCTACTCTACTCTATTCTATTCCTATTCTATTCCATTCCATTCCATTCATTCTAATATCTATTCTATTCTATTCCTCTTCCTATTCTATTGTACCCTATGACTATCATTAAGTGTTGTACCTTATGATTCTTGACTCTTGACGAACGTATCTTTTCTTTTTGTACACTGAGAGCATTTGCACCAAGACAAATTCCTTGTGTGTCCAATCACACTTGACCTATAAAGAATTCTATTCTATTCTATTCTATTCTATTCTATTCTATTCTATTCTAT